GAAAGAAGAAAGTGACAAAGAGGACTGCAGTTGAACATTAAGAAGATCAGAATCATCCATGGATGAAGAACTACACAACTTCAGTGTTGACTATGAAGAGATTGAAATAGTGAAAGAATTTGTATACCTTGAATCATCAATCTGAATGGAGACTGCAGCCAAGAAATCAGAAGAAGACTAAGACAGGGAAGGGCAGCGATGAAGAAATTAGGAAAGATAATTAAGTGTAAGGATGTGTCACGAGAGAACAAGGCCAAGATTGTCCACATTATAGTACTATTTCTGGAGGCAAAAATGTTGATACTGAGAATATCCTACTTTGGGCACATTGTGGAAAGGCAAGATTCGCTGGAAAAGATGATAATGCAGGGAACGTTGAAGGCAGAAGGAAAAGAGGAAGACCATTGATTGACACCATCACAGAGCCTTGAGTCTGCAAGATCTGAACAAGGCTGTTGATGGTCACTCATTCATAGTGTGCCATGTGTCAGAGGTGACTTGATGGCACCAAAAACAAGGACAACATATCATGGGATGATCATATAGCAGAATGACAAAACTTCCTATAGACTGGAAAGTCATTTTCATTCCACTTGTAATTTCTAATAGCACAGCTAGATTTGGGGTGTGTGTGTGTCTTGAGCGTTGACGCAGAATACATTGGTATTTGTTACTGGAGTGCATGAACCTGCCCACCATGAATGTGTATATCCCCAGCTGGTCCTCTTTGATTAGGAGGAAACATAAAAAGTGTGGGCCCAGTGTGGCCATTGAATGTCAGACCAGACTGAATGTCATTCCTCCTCATACCTCCATCCTCTCTTTGCATATGCTGGTCTTATGTGACCCAAAGTAACTAATAGGACAATCAAGTCCTGGGCACCAACACTGCTGGTAATATCTGTATCTGGCCCAAGAGCAGTGACTGGGTTTTACTATGACCCATGTATAGAAGTAGCCTTGATTTACTCACTGTTCTCTATTCCCTCTCTCCCCCAATCTCTCTCTTTCCCTTCCTTGTTTATAAACTACTGGGTATTGCTATTATTTTGCTTCCTGTTGTGGTTAATGCTGTCATCAGAGTTCAAAGTAAGGGTCATTTAAGCCCCCCTCCCGCAAGTGCTTTTTAAATGTATTTTCTGTCCAGTGACAGCAAATTCCTGAGCTGAAAGACCAATGACCTGAATGGTGGCATTTCTACTGTAATCTCTGCTTGCTGACTGCAGCTCCAAGAATAAAAATTTAAGCCATAAGATTTAATGAAATCCCCCGGGATTAAGTGCTTGCTGTGCTGAAGAAATTGTGTTATCAACCTTCTCTCTGTACTAGTAAGCATAAGGTTTAGCTTCTCGGTAAGAGAGTGTCCAAGAGAGACAACTCTGAGTCCATCAATAATTTACATATTTGTTACTTACAAACTGGTATTTGGGATTCTGTTGCCATAGCAATCCATCTGGGGCTGAACGGATAGTGTTTTAAGTGGTGATTGTGTCAGAATTCACAGTGTGCGCTTTAAATCCTATATTTGAGGCTCTAGTATGGATTGTGATTCATTCTTACAAAGAACGTTATACCTGTTGAAAGTATTTGAATATAAAGAAAGTTAAAATAGCAGGACCACAAAGATGTTTTCTCCTAAGTTGTTAGTATGAGTTGCTAACTAATGCATGTAATTTAGTAGTGAAATTAAACTGCATTGATATGAAAAAGACAAGCAGAGAGGATGGTGGGTGGAGGAATATATCTTGATTTAAGCTGTTTCTTCAGGAAGTTTCCTCTTGCTGAATAAATAAAGCCCCATTTGGCCCAGTAAAGTCATATGATTGCAACCTTGGGCTGTTTTGAATTAAATGAAATATCTACTTAACAGCTATGGCTATCAAACTATACCCTGTGATAAATACTGCTTTTTGTGTTTATCCAAATACTGCTCTTTGTGTATATAATATTTACATTAATATAGCAGTACAACAAAAAGGTTTTAAAAACAGTCTATATGTTGTACTACTACTTATATATCTTACGTCAGAATTCTAAGCAAGATTTAAGTTCATGTAATATATTGTAATGACTGTCCTTGATCACTGCTCTAGCCCATAATGCTCAGTTTCATTAGGGGTGGGTCAGAATTCAATGTATTTCATTTTTAGTAAGTATTTTTCAAAATTTACAAATTTCTTTCTAAATTTGACAGAAGTAACTTGATACATTAGAAGTGTTAGTGTGGTAAAAAAAACTTGCACATCTGCTCATCTAGGCAGAGGGTTTTGAATGCTTCACTCATTAAAAAAACCTGAGAAATTAATTTGACTTATTTTCAATAAGTCTCACAAAATGTATAAATTCCTTCAGAAATTATTTAAGATTTTAAATAATGAAAGGTGGAGAACCTGCCAATGACAGATTAATCTGTTGCTGGTATAAATACCTGGAAGATGTTTCTTAAGCACCCTACTATGGTTCGGGAGTGTAGGCATTGTCGAAATGACTAGATAGGCGGGGTATAAATACAATAAATAAATAAATAAAAATAAAATCCTAAGATTTTTCAGGGAAGCTTCCCCTATTATGTGCTGATGTTTGTGCAACACAGAATCTCTCTTTATGTGTATATGAATACTTACGATGCACTCTAGCTATGAACAGAATGTGATATTTGTACAGAATATGTTTAACCACTCAGATTGTACCTCTGGTTAGCCAGGCTGCTCTAAAAGGCAGTGTCAGCCAGGAGTCTGTTCAGATGATAAGATAGACCCAGATGATTGAAACAGGGATCCAGAATTATATTGTGTGATAGGAGCTGATAGGGCTGATAGGGTCTCTTACAACATATACCTCAGACGCTCAAACTGAACTATAGATGTAACTGAATACTGTCTACTAGGGCTAAATAAGCGTTATTATGAATAAGCCAATCTAATGAAGTGATAAATATACACCAGTGAATGTCTTATACCAAATAACTAAAAACTGTACTTATGTAATATTGTCTGTGTCTGTGTCTGTGCGTATGTTTATTGATTAGTAAAAGTTAATTATTATTTTAATCCAAATCATTAGTGTTTATTTGATTACAATTGCTGGCACAAACACACAATACGGGAGAACAAGACTTTACTCTGTAATATACAAACAGTGATTTTTTTTAAAAAAAAAATCTAAATGCTTCCAGCTGCAGTATGCTGGTTCTGCTACTTTATAGGTTATAATTAATTTATTGTAACCAAACTGAGCATCATGTTTCATGAGTCACCTGTGGTTCGATACTCCTATGAGCCATAATTTGGCTACCAAGCCAAGTGGTTCTGAAATCAGTTTGAGGAGATGGTGGTGGCAGATACAGAAGCAGTTGCAAAGTGAGATAAAAATGTGGAATGATGACAGGATTGACTTTTTAATCTGAGTACAGAAATGGGATCTGGGGCTCTTGCTTCTCATGGATCTGAATTTATGGGTTAGGGTTTGGATTTTACAAATTTTCATTGGTTTTCAACTGACAGAGGTGGATAGGTTTAGACTATTCCTAATTTGTAGCATGATGGGAAAATGCCAAATATGTTGAGATACGTTCTGCAAAATCCTAAATGTTATAAAGCTGGTCCATTAATACAAATGGGACACAGCAGGCCATAGCCTCAAGTTATCTCTAGCCAGTCTAACCCACCTACTTCGTTTCTTCCATTGTGTATGTGAATGCTTGTTTGTTGCCTCTGGGTGTATGTTTTTAATTGTGTACAAGAGAAAATAAGAAAGAATGAAAATGCCCTTGTGTTTATTCATTCATCTAAAGTATAATTTATAGAGTGAGCACAGGATTTCAGCCACTGATTTTTGTGTGAAATAAAAAAGAAAACAAAAATCAATATGATGAACAAAGTGCGTTCCCCCAGATATTCCCTCAGATATCAAGGTTAAAAGTGCTGTATAGATCTTAAATTACAAGTGAAAACAGTATACAAGACTGAATGTAAAATTTTTCTGGGACCTCTAGAGAATGGAAACACACTATAATGAACTAAAATTAGAAAAAGTGAATAGAATAAATAGAAATCAATGATTAGATGGCTTATAAAATGAATTAATATGTTTTACTACTATGGACAAACATCTATATTATTTATTATGGTAATACATTTGTAATCATGTATTCATCTTTTACAAAAGAAATTAACAAATAAAATGGGAATGGTTTATCTCCTTTGAAGGTCTAACAGTCACCTCCAGTGAAAAATGCTCTATAGAATCATTTATGGCTTATTATCTTTCAGGAATTATGTCAGTCATAGATTAAAATGTACACAAGCTGGTTAATGTGTAGATCTCTCATGCAAAGTCTGATATAAGTCCTTGTCACCCCTACTGATTCATCTTACAAAAGTGGACAGTATTACAAAAGTTCACATCATAACAAATGTGTCACTTTATAAGATGCTACAATACTTACTGCCTATTTCCTGCTCTAGTCCTATTTTCACAGTCAACACTGGCATGGTAAATTTACCTCTCCTTTTTGCATCCTTTGATTTTGAAAATATTTAGCAATTCTTATAGCATAGCAGGTGGTGCTGTTAGCCCAAAGAAACACAATTGCACATAATCTTATTGACAGTGACACATAGAAAGTTTCCAGGCTTGGCAGCCATTTGTCTGACATAGCTGCTTCTATTTAATGGTCAGAGCTCATTCCCCCACACCTGTCTTGCCTCATCAGCAGAGTAGTGTGTGAACCACATCAGGTCTATATTTCTGCTACTTTCAACTCTTGTTGCTTCTCATAGAATCTCCTTATGAGTTTTGACCCATGGTGGCTTGTGGTCTAAAAAGGGGGTGTCTTATTCCAACATTTCAGAGGGAGGCATCTCTTGCTGTGGTCATGTGCCACCCATCCTTCTGACACAAGGTCACCGCATGACTTGGCTCAGTCAATAATGGTGTATTTTTACAGAATAGCCTGTTCTTTTTTTTTAAATGTAACCAATTTGATTTTCTCTTTACAGAAACGTGGACCTTAGATAGCAAGGAAAAAAAGAGATAATTTTATCCACACTCAGAACGGTAAGTTGCTTCTCAGTTCCGTTTAAGATTCAGTATTGTTTGACCTTTGTTTCTCCCTGAACCACCTATAAAAAAAGAAAAGAAAAGAAAAGCCAGTCTATCCTTTCTTTGAAATTAGTCTGGTGAGGAATTTCTACTCTGTCCTCAAATTCAATTTCATTTCACTAGAGTGGAATTTTTTATTCATTTATTCTGTAATCCTCTTAGATAAAAGGCCAAGTTAATCCATACAGTATATCTGTATAGCACTACATAGGGGAAATATTGGTATTAGTGTTTTCTTGACAAAGATATTTTGGTTCACTACCTGTGGTGGGAAGCCACAAAACAAAAAGAAAAGCAATACATGTCTCTCTATGCATTTTGTCTGAAAAATATTGCCTTTATGTATCCTTAATGTTTTGAAGACATTGTGTGTACCTGGCAAGGACAAAAATGTCCAACTATTGCAATTGCTTTGACTGTTGGCTTGTGTTTGCCATTGGTGTCCAAGACTCCTCCCAGTCAGAAGGACTGTGCTTCCCTCGGAACAGCAGCTGTGCTGAAACAGGACAGAGAACATTCTAGGCCTCAAATCATAGGAATATATGGGTGCCCCAGCTTCAAAGTTTTGTATAAGCTTGTAAACAATTATATGAAGGGACATTTTGGTGTGGGTACAGAATTTGCCTTGCAAATGGCTAGTTTATATGTTGTCTCAAGAACATGGATTTAGATTAAGATCTTAGGCAGAGATATGCATAATTTTCCACAAACCTCCCCCGTTCACTTGCATGTGCATGATCAGTAAAATGGACAGATGGTTGTCTAGCTGTGCTTGAATTTTTTCTCTCTCTCTCTTCTGCCCATATAATCAAAAATCCCCCTGATTTAGCTTCCTCAGTCAGCTGGCATGAATACATTGAACTCATATCAAAGCCATTCAATGGAATCTGAATGTATTTACGTACATGAAGAAGAAATTAATCAACCTTTGTTGGTGCTCCAATGAATACAATCACCCTTCCTCCTTCAGGCAGAATATAATGATGAAACCTATTCATAGCACCCATCAGTTAATTTATCAGTCATGGCATTATGATTATAGAATACAAATGTTCTAACCATGAATATATAATTACAGAAATGGAACTGTGCAGTAGCCGTTTAACACATGTAATACATAATTTATTTAGCACACCATTTGGACTCAATTCTTGGAAATGAAATGAAGGCCGAATTACTCTTTTCTCATTTTTAAACAATAACTGATATTACAAACTTTAACGATACTCTACTTGCAGCAGTTTGCTTTGGAGACCAGGACCATTTGGTTTATTGTGTCCTACAAATGAACTGGAACAACCACATTTTCTCAATTAGTACAAATGCTGGACTCTCCTGAATTCAGGTACCCAAAATAGCAGACCTTTTCTAAAATTCATAACATGGAATAGATGAATAATAATTGTCTGATCTAGTTCTTTCAGCAGAACATTTTATAATTTGGAATTACTGCTTTGCTTCATAATGTTCTCTAAGGATGAATAGGAAATATGCTAAAAGCTCCTCTTTCCAATTCTTTCTTTGAACACCTCAATACAAAGTACTTGATAGAAGTCAATTATTAACCTGAAGCATGGTCTGGAAATGAAGAAATGATAGAGGTATCAGGGATTTTTTTTCCATTTAGTACTAGTCCCTTCTAGTCTAGATGATAACAAGGGACCATCAGCATCAGCACTGGTGGTACAGTTCAAAGAGCAGCAGCCTCTCTTTCAAAGAGTGTGTATTGTTTTCATTCAGTATCTCTTCCTTGCCTTGTAGTGCAACATTGCACTCTGAAATCTGCTGTGGGAAGGGGGGGAGTACTAGTGTCTGGAAGATTTAATGATGAAATCTTCAGTGGTCTTGCCAGCTATGACCATTTCTGGCCAAGGAAAACCTGGCTACAGAGCTTCATGCACTGTGTTAAACTACCGTAATGCACTTTTCTTAGGATTGCTGTTGGAGACAACCAGGATGTTGTGGTGGGTGCAATATGAAGTAGCTGCCAGCAGGAACACCTCTTTTTTGTTGTTTAGTTGTTAAGTCATGTCCGATTCTTCATGACCCCATGGACCAGAGCATGCCAAGCTCTCCTCTCTTCCACTGCCTCCCGGAATTTGGTCAAATTCATGTTGGTAGCTTTGATGACACTGTCCAGCCATCTCGTCCTCTCTCAACCCCTTCTCCTCTTGTCTTCACATTTTCCCAACCTCAGAGTCTTTTTCAAGGAGTCTTCTCTTCTCATGAGATGGCCAAAGTACTGGAGCCTCAGCTTCAGGATCTGTCCTTCCAGTGAGCACTCAGGGTTGATTTCCTTCAGAATTCATAGGTTTGTTCTCCTTGCAGTCCAGGGAACTCTCAAGAGTCTCCTCCAGCACCACAATTCAAAAGCATCAATTCTTTGGCGGTCAGCCTTATTTATGGTCCAGCTCTCACTTCCATACATCGCTATGGGAAAAACCATAGCTTTGACTATGCAGACGTTTGTTGGTAAGGTGATGTTTCTGCTTTTTAAGATGCTGTCTAGGTTTGTCATCGCTTTCCTCCCAAGAAGCAGGCGTCTTTTAATTTTGTGGCTGCTGTCTCCATCTGCAGTGATCATGGAGCCCAAGAAAGTAAAATTTGTCACTGCCTCCATATCTTCCCCTTCTGTTTGCCTGGAGGTGATGAGGTCAGTGGCCATGATCTTGGGTTTGTTTTCTTTTTTCTTTTTTCTTTTCTTTTCTTTTCTTTTCTTTCTTTTTTTGATGTTGAGCCTAGATCATTTTTTGCACTCTCCTCTTTCACCCTCATTACGAGGTTCTTTAATTCCTCCTCACTTTCTGCCATCATAATGGTATCATTTGCATATCGGAGGTTGTTGATTTTTCTTCCGTCAATCTTATTTCTGGCTTGGGATTCATCCAGTCCAACCTTTCACATGATATATTCTGCATATAAGTTTAATAAGCAGGGAGACAATATACAGCCTTGTCAGACTCCTTTCCCAATTTTGAATCAATCAGTTGTTCCATATCCGATTGTAACTGTTGCTTCCTGTCCCACATATAGATTTCTCAGGAGATAGATAAGGTGGTCAGGCACTCTCATTTCTTTAAGAACTTGCCGTAGTTTGTTGTGGTCCACACAGTCAAAGGCTGTTGCATAGTCAATGAAGCAGAAGTAGATGTTTTTCTGGAACTCTTTGGCTTTCACCATAATCCAGCGCATGTTAGCAATTTGGTCTCTAGTTCCTCTGCCAGCAGGAACACCTTTTAGAGTCCATATAAAATCAGTTCTGAAAGAACGACACTGCCAATACATTTCTCATCTGAGTTCAAGCTATTGATGATTACTTATGAAGCTGTGAATGGCTTTTAAACCTCTTCCTATATACATCTGCCCAGACATAAAGATCTGCTGGTTAGGTGGTTCATCCTTGTCCTGCCATGGAGAACAATTATGTGGATACATGATGGAGAGCCTCATTATCTGTAGCACCTCAGTTGGGGAATGCTCTTCCCTTAGTGGCTCAACTGGTACATTAACTTTATTTTGCACCAAGTTAAAACATGGTTTCTCTCGATAGTGTGTGTGTGTGTGTGTGTGTGTGTGTGTGTGTGTGTTTTAACGTTTTCAATATTTCAAATTATTTGAAATTAATAAATTGTTATATATTGCTTTTATTCCTATGCTTCACCCTGAGATATCTGGATATATGATGCCATATTAGATGAGTTGAATGAATGAATGAATGAAATACAGATATAGTTTTGCTCTGGAAGAATATCTCTTGTTTGTTTTCCACTGACTTTTTATGTCCATTTGAATGAGTTTTTTTAAAAAATTAACTGAATTAGAAATCCACAGCTTAGAAATCCCATCTGTCTCCAAGTGGGAAAGATGAAAATGACTACAGCCATATTAATTTTGTGAGGCAGACACACACTGGACCTTTGCTAGGTAGGCGCAAGGCTTCAGTTCACTTTACATTTTCTTTGGATAAATTCCGTCACATTCACCTAAGGTTCCCACATTTGATACTGTGAAATTAGAGCATGGAAAAGTTTCTTCCCAGAACACTATAACTAGCATGGTAATAGAAACATGGAAGAGCAAGTGAATTTATTTAATGTTGCCATTTTGATGTTTTTAAATCCAATGGACATGATAACAAAGTGAGTAGGTGAAAGGAGAAGGCACGGATTTATCTTCTAAAACATGAACAGAAACAAGTTGGACTGCATATTATCTTCATCATTTAAAATTCAGAGGTTTTTGGCTTTGATATTTTCCAAAGATGAGAAACCTGCTGCTGTGGAGGAGGAGAGACTATTACAATTTGTCTTTTAAAAGAGCTCTCTGTTCATCATCATCCTTGTACACTTAACTGCTGTCAAAATTTCATCTGCCACAATAGTTATTTTGGATTATCATGCAATTGACAGTTATGATGGTTTATAATGGCTGTCTGGTTAATGACAGTTTTCTCCCTTTTCATGTATTATTAAGATAACTTCATGTAATTTAACAAATCCGGTTATTGTTCAGATCAACAACCAGCTCATGAGGATGCTGCTAGGAGAATGGACTGCTACAATGAAATGTCTCATCTCATCCAGTGGAAAATAATAGTAATATGGGCAGTTTCACTCCATTAGTTCTACAGAAATTGAATTCCATTCTTTTCTTTTTCTTTTCTTACCTTGTGAAATCATAGAATTGTTAGGTCATTAATTCACATTTTTCCTCAGCAAGTTACATTTTAATGTTAATATTAGACATTCAAGTGAATTGTGTTCTAAAATGTAAATGTCCTAATTAGCACCCGTCAGTATATTTTGATTTTGGAAACTCAGTTTCTTCTTTAAAAGCTGCAGTGTTGGGGCTTCAAGATTTTTATATTGTATTAAAATAGGGTAATTGGGTTAAGGCAGTGGTCCCCAACCTTGAGCCTCCAGATGTTCTTGGACTACAACTCCCAGAAGCCTTCA